TCAAGGTAAGTCTTTCATTTCTAGGTTCCTATTCATCTTTAACTTTCATTCATTCATTTGCTAACTTAAATTTGTTCTTTCCTTTTCTTTCCAGTCTCCTACCTACTTGATCTCTTACTAACCTCCACCTCCCATCTTAATCTATGCACCTCTTTTAGGTTTCTCCCAGCACCTCATCTTCCAATTTCATCGATCACAACTTCAATTTGACTTCAGTTTTTTTTTTGTTTCTCACTCGATCCTCATGGACCTTTGATACATGTACTCAACCACAACTTCAACATTTACCTTCAATTGTAAGTTCTTATCTCTCCTCTCTCATATAATCATCTTTCTATACTTTTACTAATTTAATGAATCCTTCCAACTTAATTTTATCTTTCAGCTTCAGTGTCCAACTTGATCATCATAAATCTTCACTTTCTACACTCGATCTTGATCTTCACACCATCCTTCTACTTCTCAATTTCTAGATTCATTTCTCAGTGTTTGATTTGCAACTTTTAACTGTCAGTTCTCTCTCGATCTAACCTCTTCTTTTAACTTTTACTGACTCTCATCTATCTAATTTATTTATTTATTTATTTCCTGCCTCAAGCACCCTTTCTAGATACTGATCAATCAATCTCCACTCTCAAGATTCAATCCCCACTTCAACTTTCTTTCCTTTAAGTGTGAGTTCTTCTTTCAACCGATCCTCTTCTTTTAAGCTTATGCTGACTCCTATTCATCTAATTTATTCATCTATTTTCTCGATCGTCTTTCTAGATACCCACCGACCGATCTCCACCTCACACAATTTGATTTCAACTTTAAACTTGCTATCTCTCATCTCTACTCTTGATTTAAGATTGTTTCCTTTATCTTGTTTAATTCTTTTGTTGACTTTATTTCTAATCTGAATCATAAAAAACTTTCTTTTGATATATGTAATATCATTCTACTGACTTCATTTAATATGATCATAATATAAGATTAGTTTTGAATTGAAATAGAAAATTTAATGTGATCTTAATGTGATCTTCTATTGAATTGAATTCTTAATCCGCTGAGCCTCAAACCAGTCCTGTGAGATGAGTCTGTTCTGATAAGTAGAGCAAGGAAAAAGAATAACCATAAAATATGCGCTTTTAACACCAGAGCTTCAGCTATAAAAAGCTGAGCTCGAAGTGAATCTGATCACCACAACGTGTCACATGATGTGTAACGACAACTGTACAGTACAGTCCCAAATTTGGTGTGCGACCGTCACATCTGTACTGCAACCAGCCCGGTCATGTTGCGACGGGTTTCTTCAGGCTGCGAAAGGGTCCTTTATGCTGTGACAGAACCCTTTGCGGTGCGACATTATGTACTATCCACCACTATCCAGGACCATCCCAGACCATTCCGTCTTTCTCATGCAACATCTACCTAACTCTCCAATCCATCCGCCACTCAGCTCTCCGGCCCACTCCTCAATCAGGTAAGTTTTTCCTTGTCATCACTGAACCCTTGAGCACTGCTCAGTGCTCATCCAGCCTTTCTTTCCCACGGAATCTTGCAGTGTAGATGCTTGTTATGTTGGGTATAAATACGGCCTCATCGCTCTTTATGCAACAACCCACTACCATCTTCTTTGTTCAGTCATATACTTTTCATTGCCCATCATGGAACCCAAACAAGAAGCTACAAACACACAATCCAAACCCCCAACTTCAACCGTTGACCCTATATCAGCGCTCATTGCAGATACCTTGAAACAGCAGGCAGCCCAGTTCGAGGCCATTATATCTGGTCTCCGAGACCAAATGAACCTCAGTGGAACCTCTTCGCGTAGAAAGTTGACCGTCAATGCCACTCCGGACACGTCGTCTAAACGAGACCGATTGAAGCATTCTTCCCCATCTCAAAATGCCTTTTCAACACCCTCCTCCTCCGCAAAAAAAGCTCCTTGAAAATCCAAAACTCCGGTTCCACCTCCATCAAAACATACCAGTCCACCACCACGCAGACGTCATCCGCTCCAGTTGTTTGCGGACAAGCTTCCGTATGATTACAAAAGTACTAAGGTATGTCTTTCAGGCTTTCCACAAATTTTTGACAAAAGAGTGATAATGTGAAGTTGACTCTGTTCCTCATCACAGGAAGCCCTTCTTGTCCATATTAAGGTGCTTTGGGGATTGTTCAAAGCAAATGACGTCCCTGCTCCTGTCAACGCAAGTCTGCTCAAGGAATTCTATGCTTGATTCTCAACGGTAGAGCAAGTTAAAGCTGTGGTTGATGACCCTCATAGTGCCAACACTGTTGCCCAAAACAACATTCTCACTTTGAAATCATTACGCAGTGGCGTTGGTGGAAAGGTAGGATGTGGAATGGCAAACCTTGACAAAATCTACATTCTTTATATCCCCGGTAGCTTAGCAAAAGTTGGTCTCCGTGTCTGGGGTCCAGATCTAGACGCTGCGGCCAACTCTAGCTGTCGGATCACCGCGCTCAACACCTTCCGTCAGCTTTTGGCCACTGGTGCCTAAGACTACATGAACATCAATCCAAACCACGTGAATTCAATGGCTGAACACATCCAAGCGTATAATCACTATGTACATTACTGGATGGAGAGCAAGTATAAGTTGGAAATCAGAATGCCTGGTCGCGCTGGAAGTGAAAGTTCTAAGAAGGTTATACAAAAACTTCGCAAAAGAGTGAGTTGTTTGACACATGATGTCCTCTTCTGGTTATTCACACTGACCAAACATCTCTTTACCCTAACCCCAATTAGCTCAAAAATGCACGTGTTGGTTTTCTTAAAGATCATTGCGCCAAGTATCCTCCGCGTTACATACTACTTTGTGACAACGTCCTTGCTCATAGCGACAATGAAGAAGAGCCTGGCAAGAACTACCTTCCAATCAAAACACTGGGATATCAATCTAAAAACGACTCAAAGTTCATGAGAAGGTTGGATATTGAAATTGCGAAAGCGGCGCAGACTTCAAAGAAGGTTATCCCCAGAATTGAGCGGAGATTGCCAAAAGAGCCGATACCAACAGCTTTTCCCCGTGCCCCAAAAGAGTTACCAATTGACTTTTACAAACCCAGCTGGTTTAACAAGCTCTCCTCTGGTCAAAAAGGACTCATTCCAGATGCTACTCAAGTTGCCTTGCTACCCGACACATCTCAATCATTATTCCCGTTTCCTCAAACACACCCGGACAAATCATTATCTGAAAAAGTCTTCAACACAAAATATCTCAACATCTACTTACAATCTTATGAAATGGCGGATCAAGAAGATGAATGTCAGGACAGCAGTACTGCAGAATCGGGAAATGATGAAGCCAACAAAAAGATGAATGTGGATGAAGAATCGGACTCTGATGTCTATGATGAGGGAGATTTTGGTGATCTTTATGATGATTCTGATGATGAAGTGGTTCAAGGGAAAGGGAAGGACAAAGCCTGATCAGTAATTCGGTGGTGCTACATCCTCTCTGCTTATTGTTTCCAAGTCTCTTGTTAACTCCTTATTCCATTATTAAATTGTTTTGCCTCTTTTTCCTGTTTATGTTTGCAATTCTCCCGATTATTGTTTCCATGTCTCTTGTTAACTGCTTGTCCAGTCATTAAATGGCTGAAATTCTTCTTTTCTCATCATTGTTTCCAATTCTCTCCTTAACTACTTGTCCAATTTTGTTAATGTGTGCTGTGATTCTCTTATTCTTTTTCAAGTCACTCGTTAAATGTCATTTTTGCTCTTGTGTTTTTCAAATGTCTACGCTTACGAAGCTTGTACATTGACCTCAGTAAGATGTGCAAATGAGAAAATGTATTCATTTGAATTCTAATAGCCTACGAGTGATCAAACACGAGGAAAACAATCAATTGCTTTTAGACGTCGAGAACATGAAGACAATCAAAAACATTTGAGAAAGTGTATGAATGAAAGTGGTAGCATGTTTTATTCAATCAACTTCAACATTATGTAACTAGTAGACAATTCAAAGAGAGGAAAAGCACAAATCAACAACATGAAAAAAATCAAAACTGAGAAGCAGGGACTCTATACATCTTCCAGCTGAGATTGATAATCATAAGGCCGCAAAATGACCCCACCCTCCGCAACGGAAAGAGTGTTGTTGGGTAAGAGTCTGTAAGCAGCAACTGCTACAACATTACTTGGAGAAACAAAAACACTATGGTCTTCAACTCGACCAATTACGCATTTGAGTGAGTGTAGAAGATATCTGAAATCTTTTGATGGAGATGTCGCGTCTTTAGGAAACAGGTTTTCAATTGGATGTACCAACAATTCGGTTTGCTCATTACCTGAAGGGTTTGTGAAAACATAAATTTGCTTGATCATTGCATACATTGATTTCCCACCGTGTTTGTACTTGATGCAGTTATTTGGTTTTAATACTGATACCAAGAGATATTGTGAAATTTTCCATGAAGGTTTGGGGACTGCATACCGATGTAGCACCTTTGCCTTGGGTGGATGAGGCAGATCACAGTGACTGCAAAGCTCGGGCATCTTAATTTTCAGGTAGGACAGTAATGCATCGTATTCAAAGTCTTTTAGCTCAATCTTCCGCCTAACTGATTTTGATTTTGCAAGCGCTTCTGCATTTGTATTCTCTTCAATAGGTTGATCTCCCATCAGCCTTTGTAACTGAGAAAATCGACGGACCATCGTCCGATCCATTTCAGCTGACAAGCCCGACTCAAAATCAATACACCAGACTGTTCTAGTAATTACAGTGTCAGCTCAAAAAATTAGACATACCTAAGTGTGTATTAGTCTTAATCCCCTGTAAAATTCCAATCAAGCGTTCTCCAGCAAACTCAGATACCTGATTGAGAGGCCCCCAGCGCCTGAGTTGATCCGGAATATGAAGAGCATAGTGGTGATTTGAAACAACCACCATATTACCAAACACCTGCCGAGAAGTCTTGTGATATCGCTTGTAAAAGAACTCAAACATCTCTGCATCCTTCTCAGATACTGCTTTTGTGGTCACAATATTTGTACATTGTACCAAATCAGCAATATTCAAGAGGATTTGCCCTCTGTTGGATTCTGCCTTGATATCTTCAATATCCAGAACAAATATTTCGAGCACTGTCAGAGGAATAATGAAATCAAACAAGCTGTGCCATTGTGAAGCTTTAAGTTTGCCGTGTTTCAAAATTCACCAAGGTTCGAGGGCAGCCTGGTGGTACCGGTAGGTAATACAATATCCTTCATTCATTTTTGAAATTGCTTGATGTGTCCTTCAGTAAACAGTCCCCCATCCTAACCGGCATCAAGATCTTCATCACCGCCATCTTCCAATCCCCCATTGTCAGAGTCTTCATCCAATTCAATCGCATTACCCCCGCCTTCTTCATAAAGCGGCCTCTTCTGTGACCGCTGGGACGCTTCTGCCCTGGCCCTTTTGAATTTTGCTTGTGTCTTCTGGTCTGCCAAGGGTATAACAAATCCCCATTGATATTGAAAGTGGTGGTGTAACACCCCTTCGAACCAGTTATGAATTACACCGAGTGGAAGGTCGAGGGAAGGGTCTCGATGAAGCAAGCGATTCATTTCAAACCAACGTACTCCAGTATTTTTCAGAATATCCTTCTTAGTCGCAAGTGTTTTTGCGTTTTTGCACTTGTGAGATGTTTCTAACGTTTCCGACTTATTCCTTAACTTTTCAATCATCATTTTTCCAATTTCTTTAGAATCAACCCAACACCACGAGCAGAAATGAGTTGCCGCATGTGATGCAAAACCTGCAACTTTATGCATTCCAACTTTATCACCTAAGAGCAAAAGCAATTTGATCCAAACTAACCGGCCGTTGGGATACCAATGCGTCGGAATGATGATACCCTTTTCCAGGGCCAGAAGCTCGTCAACTGTACTTTCAAGGATGTTTGAAATTGTCATCATGTCAGGTGAATTAGGACCCGGTACAACCCCAGCAACACAGGTATTACTCATTAAGTTACGTAGTGATGGTCGAAGGTTTAAACAATTATAGGAAAGAACACCAAATGATTGCTGTTTTCCGGCCTGACGATTCCCGCGTGGATTGAACCAGTCAATGAACAGTGAGAAGATGAGATCAAGAGGGGGTGTTTCAGAAACATTTTCAGGAAATTCTGGATCATTCCAGAAGACCTCACAAAAAGCAGCAGAATGCTGTATGTCAACAATCTCTGCGCTGGTTTTCTGAGCAATTCCGTCCTTCCAATCTCCAATATCTTGTTCAATAAATTCTTTGCTAAGTAGCCATTGAAGCCAAGATGGTAGTGGCTGGGTGACATATACACTTTGCAGAATGCCAGTTTCAGACGGTGCCATTTCCAACGAGTCGCTAGGTATTTGTTGAACTTTTACCTTGTCGCTGACATCCTTAAATGTAGTCTTTGAGGTGAACAATTCCTCACCACATACTAGAGCCTTCGGCGTCTTTTTATACGTACAAGTCCAGGGAGCTTTGTCGATTGTGTACAAGCTGAAGCAAATGGGACAGCAGACACACTCTTCCAGATCCGGAGAGACTACAAGTTTCTTGACTATTGTTCTGACATCTTTAGGTACAGCATAGCAGTGGTCCTCCAGCGTATAACCATAAATTTCGCAATCATGCTTTTCATTTTCACGAGAGAGCTTCAGGATTCACATGATGAAATTATGATCTTTTTGGCAGTCGATGCAGCTGAGGCCACAGGCAATATGCAGCCATCCTACAAACATGCACACCAGGGTGATGGCTGATGAAAGAAATCAAAAAGGAAACACATGAGATCAATCAACATCTACCCAGAACTGAACATTGCGAAGTCTTACCTGTGAGTGATGATGCAGGGGTTCAATCCTCGACTGGCATAGTATTTTCCTCGATGTTTGCAACACTGCTCACAGCTTTGTTGGAGCCATCTTCGTTTGACTCCTGATCGAGGGACGCTGCGAGATCGAGTTTATGACGCTTCAGTCCGGTTGAATTTGAGTTCCATTGACCACGATGAGTCTGTCCATTTGTGTCGGTGCACGTTTGAGTGCACATGATGAGGCCTGATGGTGTTGTGAGATAGAATACAATTGATGCGTGAATGTTGATGACAAAGTTGCATGAGGCCAGGGTAGGATGAATGGCCGGTGTTGCACCACAAAACTCACTGTCGCAGCATAAAGGACCCTGTTGCAGCCTGAAGAAACCCGTTTCAACATGACCGGGCTGGTCGCAGTACAGATGTGACCGTTGCACGCCAAATTTGGGACTGTACTGGACAGGTGTCGTTACACATCGTGTGACACTTCATGTCGTCGCAACATGGGTTGCGACAGGCTTTTGCCCACGGTGTCAAGATGTGTTACCGAATTCTAGCCCTTTGATTGAAGGGAGAAGTGATATCTCAGCCATTCCAAATAAAAAGCGCACATTTTTGACATCAGAACCTGATGAGATTTGATCTGTAAACACTAATCTCTTAAGATTTCTCTCTTGGCATTTGATGTCCTCTTAAATTGCCCCTCTCACTAGTATCCTAGTGAGAGATCATGGAATTAACTCTAACAACTTCATCTGTGAACTTCATGGGGTGAACTTCGTGAATTTAACCAAAGAATGAACTATCAAAAGAGTCCAATTTGAGTGGTAGACCTTGTGGTAAACAAAAGTGAATCACTTTGGTCTTTGCAAAGTGTTAAAATTCTACCAATAACACAAAATTCAGAAAAGCTTTTCACAAGTTTGCCGTCAATTGCTTTGTCGACTAACAACTTTTGTTTGCATTTTTGGCAACCACAGCAACGCAATCGGCCGGCCGCAACCAAGCTGGTCAAACATCAGAGAGCGCGCAAAAGGGGCGTGACAAACATAAAGCTGAAAGGAAACTCAAATAGGATAGCTCCGACTGCTTGCGTGGCTCGAATCGGAGAAAAGTGTCAGGTAAGCTCAAATTTTCTAATAACATTGCAGCACGTTGGGCTGAGCTTGAACCTCTTTCCAGCTTGATGGAAATTCACCAGGAATCAGCGGGGCAGTAATTGGGTAATGCGGAGCACCTTGATCAGCATCACGGCTGAATGTGTCCCACCTGAACTCGCATGGAGGTGCTTCGAACTCACTGTATGCAATTAGTGCCCTATCATAGTTAGCCTATGTACATGTTTGAAATGTAAGACTCTAGAAGATTGTGCATGGTGTATAACCTGGATGCATTTCACAAGCGAGATGGTGTAGAATGTGGTGAACAAGAGACAGAAACAAAGTTGGCAAGTTTGCAATTTGCACGAATGTACGTCGAGCTATTGCAATATCTGCGCAATAATGTAAGTTCATAACGCACTGTAAATTGTGCCTCCCTGTAAGAATTCCCCACGTCAGCGTGGCCTCGTGCCTAACTCAAACCAAAGTGCTAAATGCCATCGCTTGATGCCTACTTTGCTCATTGCTTTTAACATGGTGAGATATGAATAATGGGAAAATTAATAGTTTTATGTTATTGAGATGATAATTTGTATTCAATTTTTGCTAAATTAGCAAGTGATGCGTCGGCAGAAGACAGGGCCTCAAACCCAACCAGCAATTAGCAACAATGAGCAGATGATTTGTGGATCCCGCGGCATTTGGTACTTCATGAGCACCCGTTATTTTCCTCCGAGCATACGCGTTACTTGAGACTATGAGGTGCTCAGTGAGATTCTGTTGGCCGTTTTCTTTACATGCAGTTCCTGGTTGCTCATCCAGTTTCATGATAACTAAGAGTACCCAGCCCCAAAGACGTATTCGGAATGCACAGCGGATCAAACGCGAAATAAAAATGCCCGCGCTCACAAGGCATGTTGCTAAACACACGGTAAAACGAAAGGGAAAGGCTCACTTCGGCGACAATCTGACGACGCATCCTCTCAAGCAAAATGAAAAATCATGATCCACCACTCATTTGCGTAAATGAGATCGGTAAAGTGTGTCGATTATGCATCTAATACACATATAATATACCTGATTATCATATATATATATATATATATATATATATATGTATATATGTATATACCTAATACCTAGTTATCATATATATATACGAGCAACAATGCATGGCTTTAAAATCTGTCGAGTCAAACAACAATCAAATGCACCTAGAATCAAACATGAACAATACTCACGGCTTCCCTTTTGAAGTGGTTGACTCAATCTTATTTCACTTCGTCAACGATTTTGAAGAAGCCTGGACCAATTCTAGGAATAGTGCTGATTGGCCGGCTTTGCCCAACCGTTTATTAGTGGAACTCTTAAACCTACGATTAGTCGGAAGGTCTTGGGCATTAGCAGTTATACCACACGCTTATCATAATTTACACTTCGGCTCGGCAGTCATGATGAAACCTTTCGTTGACACTTGGATTAACTCCGCAGCCATCTCAAGCATGGCTTGATTAAGCCACCTTAGCGTTGATCAAATCACTTGCCCGAATTTGGATTTTCAGCTCAGACCAAATCAAGTTAAGATAGGTTCGCTCGCATGTTACCAAGTTGATTTTGAGAGGGAGGGTTTCAATTATCGGTCAATTATACTGGAAGACATTGAAGAGATCATCAAGTTTTGCGGTCAAACGTTGACAAGCTTAAAATTCGTGTTTAAAAACGGTGCTGGGTTTACACCCGATATTATTGAATTAATAAAAGGGATTAAGGGTCTAAAAGGTTAATCATTGAGGCGAATGCCGACGATGTCAAGAACAATCATTCGGGGTCGATCCAAGCTTTACTCAATGTTACAGCCGGGCTTCAATCTTTATCACTTGACATCGGATCTATAGTACCCCTAGACTTAATTCATGGAGCACTACCTCGCTTGGAGCACTTATCAGTGTTGTGTGATACAAACGACCTAAACGCAATTACGGACCTTTGCAAGCCTCATGGTCAGAACATCAAATGCCTCAAATATCTTGCCCATGCAGACTGCGACCGAGCAGGGCAAGTGATTTTGACTGTGCAAAATTCCCTTAAAATCTTGTTTGTGGAATCTATCCCAAACCTCCTTCCGGCCGAAATCAGCGATTTAAATTTCCCCAAATTGAAAATCATACGGAGTATCAGCTCGACTACGGAAAGTCCAAGTCTGGCTTGGCTACAATTGGGGATTGTACAGAACATGCAAATTTACGTGACAGACTATTGGTGTTCTAAAAAATATTGGCGGAAAGGCTTGGAGGCGCTTAAAGGAAAGACTCTCAAGAAACCTGACGGATTCCACCAAATCGTTTTTGTCACGGGAAAAGGACCTGACCTTGAAGAGAACAAATACTTGGCAAAAAAATTTCTTTGACATCAAATCAATTGTCATTTTGTGGAACAATTAGATTATGTTGAGATTCAAAGTAAGTGATTTCAGTATTGAGAAGAGGAGCATTGCTCTTGCTGACTTTTAAACATCAATGATGACAGGTTTTAACGAACGAGTTCCGTCTAAGTAGGTCGAGTTCAAAGGCTACATGGGATGATGGTATCTATTAAGTTGGGGTTAGAAGTAAGTGATCTCAGTTTTGGGAAAGGAACATTGCTCTTGCTGACTTTTAAACATCATAATGACAGGTTTTAGAGAACCAGTTCCTTCTAAGTCGGTGTTCAAAGGCTAAATGGGATGACGGTATCCGGAAATTGTACTGATGAGAATGGGGCGGCCTGAGGTGATGCAGCTTTATGTACATGTTGTTTCTGCGCCATGATTCAAGAAAGACTATTGAGAGGGCAGTCCTCGCGCTTTGAGTAAACGAGCAGCCCTCCAAGTAAATTGAAATGGTTAGCTGTGGTGCATAATTAAATATAGCACTCAATGTTGATTAAGGCTTGGTCACTCAACGTTGTTCTAATATGCGCTGGGAACGTGTGTGCAAACTTGGCTTGAGGAGGAGATTGTAGTATGAGTTGATTTCTTTCTAATTGTTTGTGGAAGCGCCCACGACCCTGGGACAGCATTTGCTCAACAAACATATGTTCTTCAAATGGCAATACACTATGAAGAGGACACCGGCGGCAGCCATCATGGGGAGAAGTTTGTGCGTTGTAATTTTGTGCAGATTGAATTGGGACAATGGGTCGGGTAGGTGCGACAGTGGCTCATGTAAGAGTTAAAAACAAATGAATTGTGCAAGAGGTCACCAAGGCAACACCGCCTGGCAGAATGCCCACCAGGGAGGCAGAGCATATGTCAGAAAGTTTCTGATCTCATGGAAGATCAGCATTATGCGGAGGACCTTGTGATTATTGAACGACCCAAGGCGGCGCCCGCCGCTGAGAATGCTAGTTGAGGAAAATAAACAGCATAAACATTTTGGGGTGTTGTGGATATTCATCTTGCAGATATGCACAAGAAGACCACCCAATATTGTTACGCATAAGTCTTGGAATGATCTTTCTAATTGATATTATTACTGACTTGGCATCACTCAGTTATTCAATTCTGATTCAGGACCTTGATTTTGACTGAATTGATGGCAAGAAGACCTTTCAACAGCTCCAGGAATACAAGACTGATTTCTCATCACCAACCAACAAGGATGTTGCGAGTACAATGGAGCAAATTGAAGAAAAATTTGGGCATGATCCTGGTGAAGATGCGGAGGCATATATGCAACCAGAGCCAGATGATGACACAGAGAAATGTGGGAATGATGAGCATAATGGAAGTGATGGGTCAGATGAAGAAGAATGACATGCTCATTTCATTTTTAAATTGATTTATTATTATTGTTATTATTATTATTAGTCCAATATGTGTTTGTAAAATAGCTGTTATCATGTCAATTCATTGCTCCAGTCCATCTTTCTTGAGACTATTCATACCATAAAGGGAGCATCTGCCAAGTAAAGCCAATTTTTTTTGGTTCAGATCATACTACAAAAAAACTGATGATCCAGCAGTGTTCTCACCATTCTTAACCTGTTTCAGAAGTGGGGCCAAAAACCCGATTTGGTCCACCGTGCTGAGGTGTGCTAAGATTCAACAGTTTCCCTCAGCCAAAAAATGGGGTTTCAACCATTCTCAGACCACTGTTGAGGTGGATTTGTGGTGTACCTCTTTCCTGTGGCTTTATTAGTATTAGCCTTCTGGCCGCTTTTGCAGCTGTTAGCATACATCTTTGTATCAAGGTTTCTCTTTATCCACCATGCTGTAGTGCATACTTTCTCTAGATTTCTGTCTTCACCCATATGTCTAGCAAGGATCTCATCATGGCATACCTTGAGAACTTGTTCTTTATGAGATTTATCTACAAGGACTATTACAGAAGTGTGTTTCCTCTGTAGTAGAGTAATACGGATTGCAAGGAAAATTTTTCTTCAGCATAAAGTTGTTTCCAAGGAGAATCCATACTAGTAACCAAAGACATATCTATTTTATCCTGGCTCATGATCTTGATGAAATTTGTAGTCTTTGGATCAGTATTATAACTTTTCTGTATTTCATCATGAAATTCATCACTGAGTTCAGCTGAAATCAATCCCATTACTGGAATATCTAGCTCCACTTCTTCAGGCTCCCATGCTGGATTAGATTCATCATTAGGAAAAGCCATTTGACTCAAACCATCTGCATTGTTGTGCATATTTCCAGGCCTATGTGTAATGGTCATATAAGGTCAGTCTTCCTGGATTGCAAGCATCCATCTAAGCATATGCCTATTTGGAGTCTTGATATTCATCAAAGACCTAACTCCTGTACAGTCAACAGTGATGACTTTGAAATACACTCCATCTAAATAACAGTGGAGTTTCTCAAGAGCCCAGACTAACCCCAGAGCTTGAAGTTGTGGAGACCCGTATCTCAAGCTGAAATAAAATGAGATTTAGGGACCATATGAAAATTCTGAACAGACAGAAAGAAAGAAAATTTGACGCTCTACAAATCTGATGGTTGATAGTCTAAATGGTGATTGAAAATTGAAGGAAAGATTTGAAATGGGGGTTTAGCCAGATTACCACCTCATATTACGACTAAAGTTGATAAATATGATGATTAGAATTAAAGTTATTGGGGAATATGCAAAAGTAGAGTCTACCCCAGCTAACATCTACCCTGCAATTGTGCTGTGGTACCCTTGAACTCAAAGTTTCCTGCCAAAACTATGCATTTCTCAGTTTTCGAAAGTCATTTTCAAGTTTGGAATGTCAAAAATTCTCCTTTGTCAAATGTATTTATAGTTTTCCACTGATTGATATGCCAAACTGCATTTCTGTACCCTATCCCTTATCTCAGTTTACCGCCCCGGTTTAACACCATCCTCAATTGTAGAGTTGTTGATTTTTCAAAATTTAGCCTGATTTAAAGCCATAAGTAAACCCCATATAATGCCTTGTACACCTTAATAAAACCATACATAACCCATAATTTTCAAAATTTGAACTTAACACCTGTTTACTCCACTTATCCCATACACCCTTAAGTGACACACAATTCCTAAACCCATATGAAATAAAATACAAAGAAAAATGAAAATAATAAAATATAATTTCAAAATAAAATAAAATAAAATAAAAATAAAATAAAATGAAAATAAAATGAAAATAAAATGAAAATAAAATGAAAATAAAATACAAATAAAATAAAATAATAAAATAAAATAATGAAATATGGAATGAAAATAGAAAAAAGTAATAGCAGTACACAAATATCAAAACCGTATGGGAAAACCGTATGGAAAACCGCATGAAAACCCAAACTTAACTAAGTCCCTCGCCAACGGCCGATGAAAACCCGCATGGTTTTTTTGGTTTTTGCGGGGAAACCCAAAAAAACCATGCGGTTTCATGCGGGTTTTTCATGCGGGTTTTTTCATACGGTTTTCATATTTGTGTACCACTAATATAGAATAAATATGATTGATAATAATGATTGATAATAAAATATATTTAATATTTAATAAAAAAAATATAAATATAAATATAAAAAATTAAATAAATGAAATAATAATAATGAAGAGAATTAAAATGAATAAAAAAAATATAATTGGGTGTGTACAGATTCCGATCACCACACCGGGGTACATTGCGACTTGTTGGAATGCTGAGTTGATCAAGTTATTTTTTTCTTTGATGTTTCAATGCCTTCAGTTTGTTCATAGTGAAAGCATTTTTTATGCAATGGACACAAGATCAACCTGATCCCAAAGTAAGAGCCTGGAATTTTACCAAATCAAGGGTGAGTCCCATGAAAAAAAATGTCTCACTTCTCCATCTGAATTGAAAATTCCATTGGTTTTTGTAAACTTGGGACAATAGATATCAAGATTTGATTTGAGGTATTTTGATTTCTATTTTGCTTCAGATTGATCAATCTCAAAGTCATATAGATCAATTAGCAGCAGTTGATTATTTGAGACGTTTAGAAGCTTGGATTGCATTACATAAAACATCTGTGGCATACTGAAGTGTGTGTGTTCATTTCTTGGGAGATGAGGGGGGGAAGGGCAGGGATTGTAATAACAAATTCTTAAAAGTTTAACTGGAATGAGGATTGGAATTAATTGATTAAAGTTTGATGATGAATAAGTTTAAATAAATGAAGAAAGAATATGATTGTAATCTTTAGACCCCAAAAAAACATGGTCAAGGATGATCTTGGTCTGTCTCTCTAAAGACCTCATGAATTCCCAATGCCATGAAGTCCTTGACTTGACAACTTGTTCAAGAAATCACACAGTGCTATCTTTTGGTTGCTTTGCAACAGACATCAAATCCCCAACATAATGTGAGATTAACAAAACAGTGAGAGATCAATGGGAACTATTTAAATTTTTGAATTTGTTCTCCTAGCTCTTTGATGAGATACATAGGATTTTTGACAAATCAAATCTTTTTATTTTCCACAACTGTACTGCATCTGCTCCAACAACCAAATCATCCTTTCTCTTTTGTTTTATTTCAGGTCCACTTATGAGGGTTGCTTTGTTGGCGGCGATATCCACTATATTTGCACATGAAGTTGCATACCAATGGCCAATTTGAACAGAGGTTCCAAGCCTGGTGAAACATCTTCAGGGTTTGTGGGATGTGAGAGTACAGTGACAATCATGGGCCTGCACCATGGAACTACAACAATCCCATCACAGCTTGCAACATCCAGATTAACATTAAAAGCAGGCCAGTAGAATTCACCATCTTTGAATTCAAATCCATCATCAGCCTGGCTAGCCATCCTTCCAGTTTCTCAAAAAGCTGGAAATCAAACTCCTTGACCCCATCCACCCGGAGTTTCACAATTGGTCTGAGGTATACCAGAAAGACAACCCATAGTAAAGCTGAGGTTGCCTCCAAATGCATCAGGATTCTGATTGTCTTTGTGATCATGGGTTCCGAAAGATAAAGCTTTGAATTTTGAAGAGCGGATTAGCTAAACGTCTAAACCATTCAGCGCAGATTCTTTCAATAAATTTTTGAAAGGCAATATGTTTTTTCCATTTCAAAAACAGTTCTGGGTCTTCTTTTACAGGGCCAGATGGTATATAAGATCCTAATCAGCCACAAACATACATCAGATATTACAGGAGGTGACTTCAGAAGAAATCACACATAAACAGCTTCATCAATCAAACAAAGGTTATGACACTGAGGAAATGTTCTAGTTAGTTAAACTAGAGAGACAATAATCTCAATGACCGACACAAGCAAGTAAAAGCACACCTGAGGAAATGTTCTAGTTAGTTAAACTAGAGAGATAATAATCTCAATGACCAACACAAGCAAGTAAAAGTACACCTGCTTGAAGTGAAGAATAGAATTGGTAAAGAAAAAGGAAACAAGTAGCAAGAATTGTCAACTATTTATAACAATACATCACTAAGAGACGGTCATAGGATATCACAGAAGATTACATCATTAGTCAAAGATTAGTGACAATATGATATCATCGATAAGAAAAGAGGAATCAATAAGAGAAGAATAAATATAAGATTAGAGAAACAGAGATATGTAAGTACTTCAATTTCATCCTTCTGCATGGATTTGCAATGTCTAAAGCATCCCACAAACCCAGTGTTCATTTGCTCATTTAACGTACAACTTTCAACATTTTTTTTTCTTTCATAATGTATTCACAAGTCCCATCAAGTGACTTTCTTTCATCTTCATTCATCTTTTCATATGGTGTAAATTTTACTACTCCAACCACCTCCTTTTTATGTTTATCTTCAATAACCTGAACTTCATTTGCTAAATATTTGATTCTTTGTGTACTCTTACTAAGTTCAAAAGCCTTGTCAATTGTAGGAGGATCACACTTTTCAAGCCTAAGAACTGGATTGTATCTCACATCAACCCAGTGGATCTTCTAATCCAAATTTGTCAAGGCACCTGAGCCAATTAATTATGTTTATTTCTTTTGTATCTTGCACGCTATAATAGCTCCCCAGTGGTCTGTGGTTGATTTGTGGTGATGTCATTCTTCTCATCCTGAAACATCAGAGAGTGAGACTTTATGATTATCAAGCATGATTTGAATAAATATTAATTTCGAAATCATCAACATACCTGTTTCATTTTTTTCAACACTCTCTGCGGTTTCCAGTATCAGTAGATTCTGATTTGTTGTCCATTTTAGATGTGTGTTGTTGGGTAAAAAATTGATAAATGAGATAATTGCTGTTGATGAAAGACTGATGTGATGAGCAAACTAGAAGATGGATATCAAAAAAACTATGAAATTGATATTACATTGGTCAGTTGTGATCTGATCACTACATTGAAGTCAGTAGATTAGAGTTCAAAGAGACTTACTTCTTGTTAATCCAAAAATTGTGCTTGATTCTTGATCCCGTCAATATGGGATGAAAAAAGTTCATACAAGAATTTTAAGAATTTTGACAATTTTTCATTTTTTTATTTTTCACTAATTTCTCCAACCTTTTGTCCTTCACTTCAACACTCAAAATCAAAACTTTCATTCAAACTATCCACTCTGAATTACTTTAAATTCGTTTCTTTATTTGGTACACTCATTTTCATCAAACACCATCATCAATCTAAAACAAATACTTCAATTACTTTGAATTTTGAAACTTTCTCAGGTTTTTTTGGGTCTTGGTTCACACTAGATCTAATCCATAACTTAATTCAATTCATACTGGATTATCATTCTGAAATCATTGGGTTTCATGAAGTGTGGAAACCTTTGAAATTGGGTTTTTACAGACTTAGGGATCAACTGGCGGGTTTGTTGGGGTGGATTTATTGAAAGTTCACTTAGAATTAAATTGGTAAGTGATTTCCAAAATAGTTTCCAAATTCAAATGGAATGAATGTTTAGATGTAGAAGGAGTGAAATTTGATCAAATCACATCTGTTCCTACTGATTTGCCTCAGGAAGTAAAGGTTAGTGATTGTAAGTGATCACCAGTTCTTACTTGATGAACACATTCTGATTGATTTTCTTAATTGATGTGGCTTTCATCCGTGCAGCACAGATCTATTGCATATTATCTGAAGATGTGAAGGCACACTATCTGTGGATAAAACCAATTTTTTGGCGTACATATCACCCAGATCTATCAGACAAGTCTGGAAAAGAAAAGCATGACAAGACCAAAGCCTTTTCACACAAAGTCATTGGGTGCCTGCGGCGCCGTCCACAACAAATCAACAGATAAGACGGTAAAGAATGATATCTGTGGACATGACACTGCCTCCAGAGCATACCTTCAGACACTGCCCCCATCTTCTAGGCTCTGGCAGGCCAGAGACTACCACAACTTCTTAGAAAATTCATGAAAAATTCATGAAAGCTTCAGGAAGTTTTTGCCAGAACTTCATACACGCTTCAGGGAAGCTTCAAAAGAGCTTAAGAGAATACCTGCATCTGAACACATATCCAGACCAAAAGACAATGATGTGGCCGCTGCCAGTAAGAACCAGAGGACCAGTGACCTCCCGGGAACATATCATATGCCCTCAACTCTCATAGATGAACCGCTGTGGTGGCGAATTTATGTGATCAATCAAAAAAAGGAATCATAGTAGTTTACCAATATTATTAGAAAGGTTTCAGTGCAAAGAAAAACTTGAGTAGATGGAATTTGATCAATAGAAGCTCTTTAAGGCTTATATATTGCACATTACATCATGATTAGGTCAGTTTATTTCAAACAAATTATTAAGATCAACATCAACCATTTACAAATGCATTACACAAAGAAAAGGAAGAAAAACATAGGTGTACAGGCTGGGGAATGGTTTTTGGGGTATTGATATGAGGTTTATGAGTTTTCTGAGGTCTCAATATGAAAAGAAACAATCTATTATACAGTAGCAACTTCCATTATGATGGTTGATAAGGGGAACTGGGAGTTATTAAGAAGACAGTACTTTTTTGAAGATGGTAAATAAGGGTTTGAGGGTAGTTTACATATGTAATGGTTGTATTAGTAATATATAAGGTTGCCAAGAGGATTCTCCGGGACTTGTGTGGTTATAGATGATGATGTAACACTACAGAATCCAGAGAGTATTAGTAATGGCTGTGTGAAGGGGTGACAAGGTGTGAATTTTGTCAAAAATGGAGGTTTTTTTGCTATTACATATGTCAAATGACCTCAAAACATGATAATAGATAGCTCATTTGATGAAGAAGCATTGATTAAATAATGTACAATCTTCGAAGCACTAGTAAAAGACGTGTGTAAATAAAGTTAAAATGTGAATAGGGAATTGGAGTGAACTTCAAATTTTACACTTACATGCATACATGTAACAACATTTACATACAAAAACCTTAACTTCATAACTCAATACCTCATCCATTACGCATCAAAATTACATGAAATGTGGCCAATTGTGAATCAGCATCACAAGCTCTGTAAGATGCACTATATTAATCAAAATTGTACATCACTTGAACAAACCCGTAACTTCAAAGATGGGTTTTTAGCCCAATTATAAGGAAAAACCACCTGTAGTCATCATAAGAAGCGCTGTGTATCATCTAATTACATCATTGATCACTTTTGGCTGTGTAAATCACATCATCTGTAAACCCTCCGGTCTGCATCTGGCCGGATGCAAAACCTCAGACCTGTATACCCTTTATTGCTGTGATGTCAAACCCATCAAATATGGGTCCATGCAGACCTGAGCGTTTGCAACTGGCCAGATTCAAACCCTCAGGATATAGGGTTGTACAGGTCTGAGGGTTTGCATCTGGCCAGTTGCAAACCCTCTGGTCTGCATAAACACATATTTGATGGGTTTGACATCACAGCAATATATGTTTATACAAACCTGAGGGTCTGTATTTTTACAGGATCTGGGCTTGCATCTGGCCTGATGCAAACCCTTAGAGCTGTACAGCTGTATCAAATACAGCTTCAAAGGTTTGCATCTGGCCAGATGCAAAGGACTGTGTAAAACTGTATTGTCAGACTTGATTTTTTGCTGTATACTAATCACTTTCATATCCACTCTTAGGGATGTGTGCAAGACAGCCACCCCAAAAATACAATGGATATGGAGTGAGATTAATATGTGTGTCAAAGTTGTAAAATATTCCAGACATGATGAGTCTTATGTGCTTAGTGTAATTAAATATAAGCTATTGATTGGTTGACCTTGTGGTTTGAATCTTGACATGATCAAGTGACAAGCTTTTGTGGCACATTGACAGCAGGAGAGAAAAACATATACTCATGGGCCCATAATTGATTTCTTGATTTCAGATGAATGGATGTGACTTGTGTTGGAACTTATGTCCGGCTGAAGCTACATTGAAGCTATAGTAAAAACACAGTGAAGGCCTCTTGAAACCTTCTGAATCTCTCATGAATCTTTTATGAAGCAAGTGGTAGGCTCTGGCCTTCCAGAGCCCAGTTGATGGGGGCTGTGAGAGCAGCCTGACAATCAGCAAAAAACTAAACGAGTCACCTTTGCATACTAGTCTTTGCCCTAGATACTACTCTGACAAGTCATACACAGACCAGTCTGACAATCAGTGCAAAGCTGAAAAAGTCATTCCCGTAGACTAGGCTGCCGTCAAAAACCAAACAAGTCATCTCCACAGACTAGCCTGCGGCCCAGACACTACTCTGACAAGCCATACACAGAGTAGTCTGCCAATCAGTGCAAAGCTGAACACATCACCTGCACAAACTTATGTGGCCCAGATACTACCCCCAGAGCATGCCTCCAGACCAGTCTGTCAACCAGTGTAGAAATGAAGAGTCCACCTCTTAACACTATTCTGCAGCTCAGATCTCAATGTCTATCAATTTTAATTCTGTAGATTTCTTCCAAAAAACAATTGCAAAATCAAAATTACAAAAAATGCTCCTTCCGCCATTTCAAAAGTCATCATCCTCCCTCTCAAACCACCTTGGAAATCACCATCATTCCCTGGTTTGGCAAGCACTGTTTGCACTTGGACAATCTCTTTCCCGCAAGTTGCACAGATTACCATCAACTCCCTCCACCTTACTTCCAATAAGTTTTCCACCTCCTCAGATGTATCCACATATTGACAGGTCCCATGTAATAGAGAAATCATCAATGGATCACAAGCCCTCCAGTAACGGCACATCACATATGTCAATCCCCTGTTTGCCTTTTTGGAGTATTTTCACCCAATCTTCCCATGTCCTCTTTGAAACACAATTGATGTGCCAAGCTTCATGATGACTGGGATCAAAAACATCCACTGGCAGTGAACCCACAGTTGTGTCCCAGCCTTCCAATTGAAGAGTATTATTGATCAGTATATATTTTGAATGACTCAACATCAGGACACAATGGCAGTCTATTAACTTGACTGGCAAGTTACCCACATTGTCCAGCTTTTCCAACCTCTTACTTCACCACGAAATCATCTGACGCACCTCCCGTGAGATCCTGCAGAATTTCTCATCACAGTGTGTTACCCTCAGATAAGCTTGAATTCCTACACATGTTGGTGCATCACACACCCATAGTTCATCTGGGTGAGTCAATAAGTTGAAATTAGAGAATTCATCATCAATGTTCTTCCCCTCACAGTCATTCAAAGTTGGAACTGCATTGGTTCAAAGGTTGGAAATTTTGTGTTGTATGTCTTCACTCAACTTTGGTAAACATTCCATTTCCTCTTGAAGACTTTTTGTTTAGCATTCATTACAGTCTTCATGCACTGTTGATTTGATGTACCTGTCTGGAAAATGCATATTTTTAGCATAGAACCAAGTACATTTGTCACAACAATTTAACATTTGACAACTAACCTAGCCCCCCCCTATCCCACCGTCTTGGAAGCTCAATAATATCCACCTCAGCTTCATACAGCGTAGATTTTGCTACATGTACCCAAATTATATAATGTGCCTTCTCATCCAATCATGGTGTGTGTTTGTAGCATGTCAATGTTTTTTTACATCCCATCGTAGTTTTCACTATGTGACTTACCTGCAGCCCCTGAAATATTCCAAAACCTTTGTTCCCCAAGCTTCTTCACAAGGACGCCAATCTCCCCCTGCAGATAATCAACCTTCAATCTTATTCATTGTAGCTTGTGCGCTCAATTTCTCTTTGCCTTCTTATGTTCTGCAGACGGGTTTTTGACCTCCTTGTAGGAAGGAGACGGGACCAAATGTTAAATGTTAGATGACTTTATTTTCTCAACCTCTATTCGAATACTTACTTGGCAATCCCAAGTTCATCCTCTGTGTGAACTACTAGCTTCTTTAAGGTTAGTAAGATCACTAAGGATAGTGTATAAACCTGTAGGGATGGTAATCTACAAGGTTTAAAGACGGAAAAATAAGGTTCTGGCTCTATACTTGTAACAAACAACTATAGACTGCAGTTGGAGGACCTTTAAAGAAAGGCTTTTCAGGGATTTGGGTTGAAGTTTTTACTATTATTAGTTGTACAAACTGCGCACTGAATCTTCAGTGACTTCCCCTTAATCAATTATCTTTCTTTCTAGAACTAAATTGATCAAGAACACTAAGTTCTTTTATAGTGTTTAGTACTTTACACTCTGACTAATAGAGGTACTACGCAGGTTTAAAGTTTCTGGATCTGATCAAATCCCAAATCAGATCAAGCAGCACTCAAGGACTACCCCCTTTATAGCCTGATTTCACAAATGGCAATTATGGGATACAAAGTAGAATCCAGGCACGTGCCCGGATTTTTTTTGGCAGTAAATTTTGATTTTCTGGGCACAAGTCTGGGCCCAGAATTCAAATTTACTGCCAAAAAAAATCTGGGCACGCGCCCGGGCAGGTGCCCGGATTCTACTTTGTATCCCCTAAATCAACAACTACTACAAAACTGGGTCCAAGACCAGACACAGTAAAGGAGGGAATTGAGAACCACAAGACAAAGATAACAATCACAAATAAGATAGTAAAGTTTCACTTTACTGAAAGCTTATAATCTAGTTGGTGATGAGGTTTTATTGTATAATAAAAGTGTTAAAATGGTAATATGATGATGATTCTGAATTTTGCATATTCAGAGTTTTTACAGTCTGAAGTTTGAAAATTTTGTGCGCACAATTTGTGGTTCCAAGGTTAGGTTCATATTACATATTGGTATTGACCTTTCTACTTGGTTATATACATGTTACACATGTGTAATGGATGTAATCTTCAGGAAATGTAAAAGTTGTGTACTTACACAGTCTTTTACATAAGTTGTAAATATGCCACATATGTTAATTCATATGTAATGTAACTCTTGAAACTGAGTCTGAGTTGTATTTATTGTTTTTCAAGGTTTTGTCTTATTATTATTTGTCAGCCTACGGTACTATGGTTCAGTACTCAGGGCTGACACTCTGATTTTCCCAATCTCTCTAATATATCTTGAACTTTGTCGTGATTTCCATTGACAATCAGCTTGAGTTGCATTCCCTTCTGACGCATCCACTGATCATCAAAATACTGCATATTGAGACCAAGTATGCTCTCAAAACAATCCAGAGTCTGCATAAGTTCAAGTACAGTCTTTTCATGAATCCACAATTTATTATGGGCAGACAATACTACCATGAAAAAATGATTTTAATACCATAAATTAAACACAACATGAGATCTGTACTCACCTGACTTCTTTAGCAATATCCTATTCAAGTGCTCATTTCTTAGACTTAGGGCCTCCTTTCAATGTCAACAAGTACATAACCATCAAGGGCTTATCAAACACGTGTTTTCAGACCACTTTTGCTCACACCCTTCACCATATGACATGCCAAAACCTACATTCAGCCTTGGGTTGTTTTTAGTTGGCATCCCCAGATGTGAGCGTATGCATGGACAACACTTGTTCCAAACTTCAATTGTCCTTGATAATTACGCTCTTCTACAAAATATTTTCTCTATGACATGCATGAATGATTTCAATGTCAGTATTATAGCCACAGAACACTCAAATAAATCAGACTCACCCTAATCAACCTTTTTCAATATATTACAACCTATTTCATAGAGCACCTGTGGCACCCAGAAAGTCCGGCCCTGACCCAAAGCTGTCAGTGTGCATTACTAAGGGCTTATAGCCGAAAACCCCCTGCAGATGAAGACAGATGCGGCAGAGTCATCTGAGGAAAATTTTTGAAATGTGAAGTCAATTCTTCAAAGATTTACTTATGTCTGATATTCATTTCATGAGTGTTCATGTACTTCCTGAATACTCAAAAAAGGCTTTAAGAGGCCATCTTATCCCACAACACCTTGAAATGCTTGTAGCAGTGCAAGAATCCCAAGATCTGCCAAAGCCAAGCTCATCTGACCAATTCTGAGTAAATCTGACACCAGATTGAGTCTGCGTGCTGTAGACAGACTCATCTGCTACAGTCATGGCTGCCCACACAGCCATGACTGAAGCAGATCAATCTGGCAACAGCACACAGACTCAATCTGGTGTCAGATGAGCCTGCACACTTTGCACTCAAAATCCATGACACTGTAACATAACCCTATAATCTAACCCAATAATCAGGGGTAAACCCATCTGCGCTCATCTGCGCTGCTCATTGAAAATGATTTCACTCGTTGTACACTTTACATAACATTACTACAACCCAAGATGCAATTATCAAAAAAGCACAATCTTTCATATTTATCCCATGATAAAAAAAATCAAAGAAGAGCAGGGCAATGTGATTGCTATGAATACTTCATTCACAATCATTTTTCATTTTTTGAACCAACCAACCAATCAATAATCAGTAGTCATCACCATGTGGGCTTAACTGACTGAAGTACATACAAGATGTTGTTGTAGGGTACTACTCAGGTGTGATATTAAAATGGGTAGACGTGGTGAGACGAGGTGATTGTGCCAGCCTCATCTGCTCGAAAATCAAGTTTTTGAACTCGGAGGGGGAAATGAATCTGGCTCCATCTGGTTGAAATTTGAGTTCTTGTACTCACAGGGGGGAAATGAATCTGAGTTCATCTGGTCAAAATTCGAGTTTTTGCACTCAGGGGGGATGAATCTGGCTTCATCTGGCCACAAGTCATAATGTTCACACCCAGAAGGGAGAAAACATCTGGCTTCATCTGCCCAAACTCACAACTACAACTACAGTCAGTTCTTGGACTCACATGTGGATCTAATCGAGTCAAAGTTTTCACACTGATTAGGGAGCAGGCTCACCCGCTCTTTACACCTTTTGCTCACAATAGTGTAACCTTCACGCAAGGAACATTTGGAGCTTGCTCTGATTCTATCAGATGATATAAAACATTTGAAATTTTGAAAAGAGATAAAACATTGAAAAAAACATTTTTTTAGTTATAAAAAAATTGAAAAATTGAAAAGAAACATGTTTTTAGTTGTAAAAACTTTCAAGACATTCAAAAGAAACAAATTTTTATTTTTATTATCAGATTGGTACCCAGAGGTATCAGATGGCTCGCTCAGATTCTATCAGATGATATAGAAAAATTGAAAAAGAGACAAAACATTGAAAGGACACATTTTTTTAGTTGTATCATGAAATTTTGTAAATCAGTCTGATCTAGCAAGAGTTGTAAAACTTTGCATCCTTTGATGAAGTTGAAAAGAAACTTTGAAAAGAAAAATGAAACACTTTTGACCGTATGATCAGATTTATGATTGTTGGACTTGAGTTTAAACAACAACTCAATTGATACACTTAGACGATCCATTAGACAATCAATTGAGAATCAATCTTCTTTCTCCTCACTACCACTTTCTATAGTGGAATCACTTTGATCTTCTTTGTCCTTCTCTGCATTCTTTGCTGCTTGATTTTCTTTAGACTGATCACCGGAATTGTTGCTGCAAGAACCTACCACCTTGTGCATTGCGCGAGCAGCAGTGTTTATAGCTGCTTCAAATTTTTGTGATATCTAAAGCCACCAACTCGCCAATTGCGTCATCAGACCCGACCCTCAATTTCATTAAGCAAATACAGCCATCTTTGATATCGTTAACCCACTCAAGTCGTATTGCAGATTGCATCTTCTTAAATCCAACTTGCAGCTTTTTGTCGGTCAGTCTCGAACCTTCTGCAAGAACAATAGAAAGTGGAAAGGCCCTTTTTTCAATTTGGCTACTGGGTCAGCAGTCTGCGGAAAGCCTTGAGGGGGAGTGTATCCCAGGGTTTTGTCTGCAAAAGAAACCAAGAATCAGATGAATGATACATAAAATAAAGATGAAACAATTGTTACTTACATGTGATAGCTGCCAAGAGACAACCTAGATCTACCTTAATTTTATTGCTAGGCTGTTGTTTATCAGGATGTTGAAGTTGTGGTTTTGGTTTTTGGTTAACTGAGGCAATGGCCTTCACCATTGAAACACCCTGTGAGTATGTTGCAAAGACAGTTGCCAGATGGCACGTCTCGTTGGCCCAAGTTGCAATTGGAGGGTGAGACATGTATTGCTTGAGCCATCCCAGCTCGGAGGTCTTAATAGGTGTCACAGTGCTTGTTGCCACAAGGTAGTACGCAAACTCTAGACAATTAGATTCACATGAGAGCTAATAAATACACGAGATGTTGGTATTGGAAATACGAATTGAATGAATCTAACACAAACACATCACTTACCTGATGAGCGATCTTCTCAAAAGCTGCCTTTGATTGGCGCTGAACCTGAGAAGCTGAAGGTCCTGCTGGAGGCTTGACCAATTCATTTTCCACTTTTACTGTATCGACTAACCGTTCATAAATAGGCCTGTAGAGCTCATCATCCTCAACACTCAGCTTATCAACCTTTGGCATTGGAACAAGAGAGTCGCCACCAAGCCCTTGCTCTTCTCGATCATTGTCCAGTATCTCTTCTTCAGTTTCTGAATCCAACAAGAAGTTAGGCAGGCCAGCCAATGCGTAAAAGATTTGCGGATTGAAAACTGCTTTCTCATCATCTGAAAGTGCGCGCCATTTTGCCCTGTTCTTCCGATGACAGTTACCGAGTATTTCTCCACCTTCCTCCTGACCTTGCAATGGCACTAACAAATTCAAGTAAATAAATCCAGGTCAGTTGATTCCTCAGAATGTTCAATTCATATTGTAAGAGACTACTGACTTGCTTCGTTTAAGCAATCCAAATTATACTCAAGGAAGATCATATAACGACTGATGGCTCTTGTTGCTGACAATCCGGGTCTGATAAGAATTATGCAGAGTAAGTAACTTGAGAAAAACTTCATAACACAAAGAATAACTTACATATAGGACTTGATGGTGGATTCACTCACTTTGCCAATCATAGCAAGCATAAGAAGCTCTTGATTGAATTTCTTGTGGACCAGTTTGACACGATCTGAAATCTTGGTAGATAGACAAGTTCAAGTTGAAGCCTTATTCTCTTGGTGATGCTCAAGAATGCAACCGGAAGGCCATAAATCCATCAAGCTTGTATAATTATTGAGGGTGGGAGTGATTTCAGAATCATTCTCAAGCTCTTTGGCTTCAGTAGACCAATTGTTGGTAGATTGTTCATTAACGTTGGTGGTGGTGTTGTTACAGACTCGTTTAGGTGGGTTAGTGAAGCACGGAGCCTGAGGAGGTCTCTTGGACGCAGTGGCACAAGTTGATTTGTTTGAACGTTCAGGAGCTGAATCTTCTGGTTGATTAGGTGGATTAGCAGGATTAGAAGCAGCTGAAGCTCCTTGAGATTACAATCTTTGTGATAACCTGTCAGAGCAGGGATCAACATGATTCAAACTCAAGTAATTGAATCTAATCAGAATTCCACGACCACGAGTTACTCACCTTCATTCAAGATTGTATGAGAAAGTCTTGGATCAGATTTCATTTCCATCACAATCAACAAATAGAATATGAAACAAGATAGAAAACGAAACATACCTGTCAGAGCAGGGATCAATATGATTCAAACTTAAGTCATTGAATCTAATCAGAATCCCACGACCACGAGTTACTCACCTTCATTCAAGATTGTATGAGAAAGTCTTGGATGAAGAGAGAAGAGCTCGTGGCGCTCTGTCAGTACTGTTTATAAATAAAACAACAACCGGTACATAGGTTTTGATTAGGTTTAACAACGTTTCATGTAACTCAGAAATACAGATGTAAATTGAAATAAGAGAAGGAAATCTATGGTGTTAAATGCATGATATGCGTAGTTGTGAAACATATGTAAATGTCACATGAAAGATAAAACACCATACTTGGAACACTTGATTCCAAGTGCAAGGAGGCATTCGGATTTTGCAAATAGAAGCAATGATTCAAAATGGATAGATTGAGATTGAGAGCTGGATAAGACTACTGTTAAGTCGAAAATGAAATTTGAAGAATCAATACTTGATTTGACTTGATTTTGAGAAAGGGAAATTCGTGGGTTTTGGAAGGATGATTTGATTTAAAAAAGGTGATAATTTTCAGCGATAGAATGATATTTAAAAGTACTTTTCAATGTGAAAGAAGTTAGATTTTTCAACTGAAGAAGATTCTAGTAAGCATGACCTTTGAAGCAATGATTTGATTTGGTTGGATAGGGTAAATTTTATGACTGTGATTGTAAAGTATTCTGGTAAGTGGTGAGTTAAAAGGAGAATGCCAGAGTGTTTGAGGATTCGATTTGGAAGGGAGGGGAAAACTTCAGCAAAATGTGAATCTTGGAGGAGAAAAAGAGAGAAAGATAAATTTATAAGCAATGATTTGATTCAACTTCAATTGTTTGACTGATAAGATTCCGGTAAGGAGAGGAAGTGAATTGTTCGAGTTTGACTTGCATTTGGTAATGATATCCATATCAGTCCAAAACAAAAGGAATATTCAACAAATTATACAGTTATATGTATATATATCTGTATATATACGTACATATTTCAGCAGGTAGGGAGTAGGTACCAAAAAATTGAAATATAAGATTAAGCCATGAAGATGGGGAGCAATCCCTTTGGTGCAATGGCAAACTAGCCATTAAACTGGCAGCTCTACTGCCCCTGACAAAATCTAAACTTTGTGACAATTTTGACAGGCACTATTTGTGAGTTTGAGGACTGAGCTATAGGTAGTAAAAATGCAAAAAGTGAGGTCAGTTAGTGAAGATGAAGAGCAATGAAAATTATGGCTTAACAAACTGGCCTTTTTTTTGTAAATTTCCATCCCTTCCCGCGGAAGACTAAGCAGTATAGTACCTTAATCATGTCACTTCATACAAGTTTGGGTTTGGAGTGTGTTCAACAAAGATGAGAAAAATGGTATAAAGTAATGAAGATGCAGTGATAGACATAAAAATGCATAATGAAAGTTTCTCACCTTACAGCAAAGCACATTTTTCATCCAGGGTTTTGATCCCAAACTCTGCATCTTCAAAGTGTTTGGGTAGTTTCCATGCTTGAGCGGTGAAATTTGTCCCAATTTGAGGCATACAATTGGAAAATGAGGGTGCAGATGAACAACTGGATATACATATTCATAGTGGAGTTTATAGATGATGCAGATATGCACACTTTTTATTAAGATCATTTTCCCATAACTCTTTGTTTTCAAAGTGTTTGACTGATTTTTATGCTTGAGTGAGGCATTTTCTACCAATGTAAGGCGTACTTTGGGTATAAAGTAATGAAGATGGAGAGTTAGAAACAAAAATGCATGATGAAACTTGCTCACCTTACAGCAAAGCAACTTTTTCATTATGGGTTTTTATCCAACACTCTTCATCTTCAAAGTGCTTGAGTGGGGTTTTATGCGTGACGGGTGAGGAAGGAAGCCATTTTTGAGTAAAGATGTGAAAATATAACATTGAAGATGATGAGTGAGGAGTGTTTTGATCATTTGGAATTGTTCAGCGTGAAGACTTGCACATCTTTCATTATAATTGTTTTTTGATAACTCCACCTCTTGAGCATGATAGTGTGATTTTAGTCCTTAATTTGGTGTCAAATTGTTCAAATTACAGTGATGCAAGATTGGTCAAACAATGCATCCCAGTTTTTTGGCCAAGATTATCAACACAAATGTAACCCTACCAAGGGGAAGATCAGGTTTTATGAAAAAAGTTTTGTAATGAATTATGTGCTTCTATACATGCTGCACACTTCTCAATAATGACATTTCTCCATTACTCCTCATCTTCATTCTCATATTTAAACATCTTTACACAAAAATGGCTTCTTTCCTCACCCGTCAATCATAAAACCCCACTCAAACACTTTGAAGATGAAGAGTGTTGGATAAAAATCCTCAATGAAAAAGTTGCTTTGCTGTGAGGTGAACAAGTTTAATTATGCATTTTTGTTTCTAACTCTCCATCTTCATTACTTTATATCATATTTCTCATCTTTGTTGATCACACTCCAAACCCAAACTTGTATGAAGTGACATGATTAAGGTACTATACTGCTTAGTCTTCCGCGTGAAGGGATGGGAATTTACAAAAAAAGGCCAGTTTGTTAAGCCATAATTTTCATTGCTCTTCCTCTTCACTAACTGACCTCACTTTTTGCATTTTTACTACCTATAGCTCAGTCCTCAAACTCACAAATAGTGCCTGTCAAAATTGTCACAAAGCTTAGATTTTGTCAGGGGAAATAGAGCTGCCAATTTAATGGCTAGTTTGCTATTGCACCAAAGGTATTGCTCCCCATCTTCATGGCTTAATCTTAGGGCCCGTTTGGCGGTTTTTCCCAAAAGTTGTTACAAAAAAACGACTTTTCATTTTGCCCCATTTTTGAGGGGCAAAATGAAAAGCTGAATTTCGGCGTTTGCATTTACCGAACAGTCAACCAAAAAAGGTCAACAAAAGATCATTTTGATCATTGTTGCCCTTTTGAACACTACTAGAGACTGTGCGCGCATGCACACAACAGGGGAATAGTGTGCTAAGACATGTTTTAATTTGTACCATGGTTTCTTCCCACTTTACAGGAAGAAACCCTTTTCACCATGCTATTCAGCGGATCAATTGACATCTAAGCTTACATTCTTTGAATATAATACAAACCAGTTACACCTCAAGGCATTGCTGTTCTGCATGTTTCTTGTCCTTTCACCAAGGATATTGATGATGTGTAAATCAAGGGAAATATAATCACGATCTTCGATCAAAATTTCACTAGATTCAGAATTCATGATATTCAAATAAGTTACGCGCCCATTTGGCCAATTCATCAACACGACATGTAGTAGGATTAAAATCTAATCTAAGATCATAACAAAATGAGAGATCTGTTGGTTCAATAGGTTCCAACCTATAACAAATCTGTGCCCTTGTACTATCAGTAGTAATTCCTTGAAGTAGATCACGGAAAGTAGAAAGTGAAATACCTGAATAAAGTGATAAGACTTGATTAGTAAATTTTGACACATAAATTTATTTTAAAGTGAGTGAAAAAAGTTCTTACGAGATAAAAAGATTATATCACCAGTTTTACAAACAGACAAAAGTTCAGTTGAAGCTTCATCCCATAAAGTGATTTTAAGAGTAGAGCCAGTATCATCAATACAATCAAATGCAGCCAAAGTAGCAATAGATTGACCTGTTCTTGGTTTTTTCAATGGAATGATTCTGATAGGATTAATTTCATTCAAATGAAAAATCAAATCATGAGTGATTTTTTGATTTTTGTTTTGATGATGATAATCATTTAGTCCATTCAATTTTGTACAATTTCTTGATTCAAAATGCCATTCTGGTGGATTATATACTGTTGATTCAGAAAAACTTTCTTCAATTTTTGAAAAGTTTGGATTCTTGATTGATCGATTGATTTGTGTCCGATTAGGATATACACAGCTCACATCTAGACAATGTGATGTACATTTCATCAGGTTTTGACTAAGACTATCTTTATGCCTAGATCGAGAACCAAAGAATGAGTAGAAATGAGGAAAAAAATCCAAACAAAAAAACCCATGTCGTATAGGAAGATTTTAAAAGCAATCGTGAGGATGAAAACCGGACAATGCGTAAGCTTGCTGCTTGAGAAAAAGAAAGAAAAGCTTGACACGCTTTTAAAAGCGACTGATCAAAAGTCAACAAATCAAAAGGAGGATTACACATGAACTTTAGAAACAGAAAGATAAGCTCGGGATGCTTTTCAAAGCAGCTATCTGAATCAACATATAAAAAGGAGGAACTTCTAGGAAAATACATCCCACAAGATACCCGACTCATTGAAATACTCAACTCATGCAAGTAAATTGTAACATTGTGTTATTTAGATTCAACTGTTTGGTAAAGATGGTTTGACACGACTTTTCAAATCAAAAATTGAAAATCAAACAAATCGTCTTAAAGACCTTTGATCACGTCAACCACCACAATCATCCACCTCATCCCAACTTGAGCCGTAACGCTCCTTGCTCGTCTACGCAATCAAAACATAAAAACTTGCTCAGGAGTTCAATATTTACAACCACATTGATGCAATCTGTAATCTTTTACCTCTCATTGATACTCTTATTTTGAAGGAGGCTGTAAAGCATTCGATTGATTGTTTTCTTAGCTATTTTGCCATATCGAGTCATTCTTTAACATTTCAATCATTAAAAAAAGAGCCAGTCACTATTACATTTGTATCAGCATGTATATTTACAAATGTATTGAATGAGATTGTATATGAAGGTTTAATGTTTTTTTATTTGAGATCATACAGTCACTAAATTTTTATATAAAGGTTTAATATGTTTTATTTAATATCAGAACAAACCATTTTATATAAAGGTTTCATGATTTTTTACTTGAGATCAGACAGTCACTATAATTTTAATTGAAGTTGTTAACAAAAACTCGTATATTTTCAGATTGATCTTGAAGGTAGATGATAGATAAAGAAAAGAATAGTTACAGTCAGTAAGTGTGTATTGAATAAATGATACAAAATGAATGTACTTACTTTTTTTGTTGAGGATGTATTGAAGCCAACCATCACGCTCACGAGCTGGTGTATTAACATAAGTCTCAGCAATAAGAGGCTTTTCAGCAAACAAATCTAAGGCAACATAGCGTTGAGTGTTTTCCAAAGATGATTTGTAAATCAAAGCGACAGCTGAAGCATGGGTTGAAGGTTTTTCATCCTGAATTTTTTGCGCTGCGGTGTTGATTGATGCTGAAGTTGAGGCAAAGGAAGATTGTATATTTGCGCCAAAACCCTTCATGTCAGTGGACATTCCATCAAGGATTTGAATCCCAGATTGTTTCTTCAATTTGACCGGAGCATGAGCAGCCAAAGCGACCTTAGACTTGCGGTGTTGCTTTGCCGCCGGAGTTTCATCCGAGTCTGGGTTGGCCTTGGGCTTGAAAGCAGTGTCCATCAATGCGGATGCGTTGTTAGAGGGTGGTGATTTGGGGGAAGGATGGTATTCAGGAGAAGATCCACGTTCGAAAGGGTCCTCGGCTTGGCTGAGAAAAGGGGAAGCTAGGTTGTGTTTAGTGACAATCGGGCTGCTAGGAATCAAAGCTAGGTCCTTTTTATTGATGATTGGGCTGGTTGAAGTCAAAGGTAGGTCGGTTTTGACAATGGCACCTGTGACATATTTGCCTGTAGCTTTGTGAACCTCCAGTAGGGTCCCAATCGCATCAAACGAGGGAAATGGTTGTCCTTGGCATTGGAGGAGGTCCTTCGCCCTTTTAGTCTGAAAGAAAGAAAAAATTGGTCTATGAAAGGAGACAGAAGTGGTGGAAGGGAGAAAGAGAAGAAATGTACATACATCTTGTTAAATAATAGGTGCCCAGGTCCGATCATCCAGCACAATACATCCATTCTCCCACCCAGCACGACTCAAACCATTCAGATACTTGTAAAGGCTGTATCGTTGAGACAACTGTAAAAGAAAAACAATATCAAAATCAAAACAATAAACAAAGATGAGAAATAAATAAAAACTTACAATATACCAGTGATCCTTGCATGCCTTGGTGGTTTTGGCTGCACTGACTTGAACAACACCGGTAGATTTTTTTCCTCACTTCCGGCGAGTTTTTCAGCGACTTTAGTCCAAACAGCAGTTTTAAAACCATGAGCGGTGGTAGCATTTTCCGGTCCGATTGGTGCGTTGCCAGGTTGACGTTCAGCAGTGAGTACTTCAATCATATTTAAATCATCATCTTTGTCCCATTCAGCCTTGAGATTTGATGTTTTTGGTGTCTCGGTGATTGGTGGCGCAATTGGCGGGTTCGGATTAGTTGAGGAGATTGGGTTGATTGGTTCTAAGGTATTTGGTGAAAGGGCATCATGTACTACAGATCGGACAGCTCTAGGAGCTCTCTATCGTGGTTGTTTACTGGGTGTGGTGGTGGTACCCATACTATTGATGATTGAATTGAATCAATAAGAAGTTGATGGTCAATTTGATGATAAGAAGTTGATGAACAATTTGATGATAATATGGTGAGTGAATTGGATCAATAACTAGAGACAACAGTAGAAAGGAACCGTTGAGTGAGGAAGGGTGTCGTGTGGGTGAAGGGTGTTGAGGTAGTTCAAAAGTTGAATGAGGAGATGGGGCAAAAGTCACTTTTTGTTTCAAAAACAGCCTTGAGGCTGTTTTTGATTTTGAACAAACTTTTGATCAAAAGTGGTTTTTGATTTTGATCAAAAACCACTTACCAAACGCCCGAGCTTTTGACCAAAATCAAAAAGTACTTTTGGTCAAAAGTACTTTTTGGTTTTGGTGAAGCTTTTGGCCAAAAGTGACTTTTGGTTTCCAGCCAAACAGGCCCTTATAATTGGATTTTTTGGTACCTCCAAATGGTTCACGCTGATCCAACTCATTCATTTCCTGAGATATGTGTGTAAGGAGTAAAGCCTTATACAAAGCCTAACATTATGTTTATTTTATAATCAAGGTGAAGGCAACCAATCTAGACATTGACAAGTTTAGAACACTTGTTTTTCAACAACAGTGGAGTAGTACAAATCTTCAACTACAATTTTGGTGAGAAATCTGAGGACAACATGTCATGGTGATGATTTCCGTTAGCCTTTTGATTGCCTTGGCATTAGTCTTTTCAAAACCATCAACGGAATCAAGCAAGTCCAAAAGGGGTCATCATGGACAATTGATTATCAATTGAAACCCCCTTTGGGAGGATCCCTGCACATAGTGTGTGCTGATTTCAAACATCAACTCTTTGTTAGTTGATTGTTAGTATTTATCTTCTCTATATCAAATAGAGTCTCCACTAGACATCTCCTGTTGTCATTGATTCACTTTTCACATTGAGATGGCCCCTCACAATCCAAACAATCCTGTACCTCCAGCAACTGGGTTGAAGAAACCAAGATATAACTCAAGTCAAACATTTAAGATGTTATCGGCATGGGATAAAATTGAGGAGAATTGGTGTAACAAAAAATGTGATTCACTTAGCTGTGCACTCATCCAAAACAAAGCTCCAAGGCCATCAACTATCGGGCCCAATACCTTGTCTGGGAATTTGTTGAATGATGGGATCAAGATTGACTACCAATCTCAGCATCAATTTGAACACAATGACAATGATGACCCTCTGTCCGACATGACAGAATCCGACGCCAAATCAGATGACTCTCAGCAATCAATTGCTTCTATTCCCAAACCAGGTCTTACAGTCACTGCGGCAAATGGTGATGTGAACCAACGGTGTTGTATCCGAGAAGAGAGGCAGTGGCAGGAAGTGATTGGCCCCATGTTTAAAGTCTTTATGGTTTGCAAACGAGTTGCTTTCAACTGGAGTTGGTCAGATTGGGATTTGGACAGAAAAGCTCAGTGCCAATGTTCAGTGGCGAAGAAAAGGATTCGGCACATAGCTATGGGGGATATAATGAGTGAGTAATATGTTCTAAAAACTTCATAAGTTTATACCATGTTTTGAATCATGACAGCGCACACCGTTCAACCGTTGGAGTTCTGCTCATGTCGACCAGATCAGGTTTGGCTGATCCTGATGGGTTACGTTAGCGGTTCCCCAGTTCAGCCCAAGATTGCGTTCTCATTGCGTTTTCTCCGGCTACACGACTTCATCTGGAAGTTTTGCTGTGTTTGTACGCATCCCCTGGCACAGGCATTTGATTCTTTTCATCGACCTGCATGTGAGTTCAAGGAGGATGTGACTCATAAGGTACATTGTCTTATATTTTTCGCTGTCTCTGCTTGACCATTAATCAATTTTGAAATTTGTTATATTCCAGCCTACTAGATGGGGGCAACAACTTTCTTGCACAGTTGATGCATACAGATGCCTGAATCAATGGGAGCAAGACCTCCAGTTCCGCGCAATGGAACTTTTGAAAAAGGAAAGGCTCGGCGCTAATTGCCCGCGGTGTTTTGGAGCTGACAAGTATTCAAAAGAGCAAAACAAACCAGACTATATAGTCTGTATTGATGGCAATTTCCAGCAAAGAAGGTATAAATCCGCCAGTGTTGAGGTTAGCAAAATTCCAATACAATATCCAAACCCCTTCCTGCATGAGAATGAGGTCAAGAAGTGGGATACATTACAATCTGGCTCTTCAAATGAACCACTGGTAAGTTAACCTCATATTCATGATCAAGCTTAAAGCTAATACCCTTCAAAATCTCTTTGAATCTCTTCTGCTCATTAGGACCCTTGCACGCAGATTCACACTGCTGCAAACGGCTCGCGCAGTTCCTCTACATGGCGTGCTTGTGACGATACAGGCCTTTTGGTGATGGTATGTTGCCATGATCACACATTAGTGTTTGTAAATATTGTTCAGAGTGGTGAGAAGTATGTTCTCATCACCATTTTGAGCCGTATTACATTCAGAATAAAAGAGATTACATTTCCCTTGTAGATCATACTTTGCTCACACACTCATTGACTGGTTAATCAATCAGTTGAATGAGGATGAATCCGAGGTAGCCTTTCTTTATGACATCGGATGCAACCTTGAGAAAGGTCTGGTCAGAGTTGAGCATCCCACATTCCATTGCATCAATGATAATCTCAACCACTGGTATTTCATTTTGTCACATGTATCACAACCTCTTTGAAGAAGAAAGATTGAAACATCGGTTCAAATTTGGTCCAAGTGTGTTCCACGCTTATGTACACAATTGGAGTTGTCAATTGGATTACAACCCAAGAATTAACCTCGGATGGGGCTTGTCGGATGGTGAGGGCTGTGAGCGGTGTCGGTGTAAACTGTGCAAGTTAGTGTCCGCTCTGTGATATTCCACAAAGCAGCATTGAATCAATGCGCTGGATCTCAAAGCATCACACGAGAATCACATCTTGCGGACTGACTCTGGTAAGTCACAAATCATAGTATGTCTTTATGTTTTCGACTCATCTGTTTTATCAATACCAGTCCATTCATGCCTACATAAGTTGCAAACAGCCAAGAAAACTTTGGCGGACAAGCGCTTGACTTTGAATTAAGCGTGGTTATACACATACATATTTTGCAGCACAATGGTCTCGTCAAAAACTAGTCCAGGCAGAGGTGATTGGTGACACAAATGTGCAGCAGTTGGAAGACCAGATTGAGGAGTTAGTTGAATACAAAGAAGACTTGCGAGAGGCAAAGTAAGTACATACCTATTTCCTTTATTTTTCAAAAAGCTAACACTACACGAAATATAATATTTTCTGGGCAGAAAATTAAATTATTGATACACAAAAATATTGAGAGGCCAGGAGAAGGGCAAAAAATAAATAAAAATATGCATCTTGTTCCCTGCGGTGAGAGCTTCACTCTCCATATTTTTCCATATCTTTACAGTCCGTATTGATAAGTGTACTAACAATAAACCTTCATAATCATCCAATTACAACCTGTAACAAGCACTGAAATTTGGCTCATTAGTGTTTAGAGAAACTTTTGATTTCTGAAAACACCTATAACTTTGTCAAATCTGCCTCAAAACACTCGATTTTAAGTGCATTAGAAAGCTGAACTCTTCCTCTCGAACTTTCATAAGATCAAGAACTATGTAGCTAGTATGACAATCATTCTATGGATCTGTATGACAAATTATGAAAAAGATGATATCGTTTTTAGCAGACCAGTATGCTGTGTGGTCCTATTATGAACTATTTGGAGGACAATTCCTGCTTACCAATGCACCCAAAATCGAGCGTTTTGGACCGGAATTGACAAAGTTATGAGTATTTTCAGAAATCAAAAGTTTCTCTAAACACTAATGAGCCAAATTTCAGTGCTTGTTACAGGTTGTAATTGGATGATTGTGAAGGTTTATTGTTAGTACACTTATCAATATGGACTGTAAAAATATGGAAAAATATGGAGAGTGAAGCTCTCACCGCAGGGAACAAGATGCATATTTTTATTCATTTTTTGCTCGCCTCTTGGCCTCTCAATATTTTTGTGTATCAATAATTTAATTTTCTGCCCAGAAAATATTATCTTTCTTGTAGTGTAATAAATTGTGACATACATCTACAGGGAAAAGAGAGACGCTTTACGCAGGCGTCAACGGAGAACTGCCGCCAAAAATAGGACTCTGGCAGGCTTGCCAGGACACATCATCTTCCTCCAAGAGAAAGTAGACCGAGTATCAATGGAGCTCGGTAGTGACATGTTCAGAAACATGCCGGATGCCTCAGGTAATATTATTATATTGCATGTGTTCCTTTTTAGACATTGACCATTGACTACTATCTGATATACCAGACCCAACCCGTCTTTTGTTGATACAGGTGAAAGTAGCAAAATCAAAACTCTACGAGGCAAAGGTCGGAATTAGTGAATTGTCGAAAAAATGGGAAACAGGTTTGTCTTTCAAATTGAGAGTGCAAGGGAATTAGCAATATGTAATTGGGTTGTCTGTTATAATAGGTACCTCATCTCAGGAACGGATGAAGAGTGTAATGAACACTAAGCAGAAATTATTCCGAACAAAGTGGAAGACATTCCACAACCTTGTTGCAAAGTATAATGATTCTAATCCAGACAACCCTCCCATGATAAATTATACTCTTGATGAAGTCAAAGCTTTCCCACTAGGCGATGTTTTTTGGAACTTTGGGCATCTCATGCATCCTAATGAGGCTTGGGCCACAGATTCTGACACCCGGCAGGGGATCCAAGCTTATTTTATATCGTCGCTCCGAAGAAGAGTTGCAAAGAATCTCACGTGAAGTAAGACAGATGCTGAAATGATCTTTGGCAACGGATGCCAAAATCCAGAAGGTTCTGACACTTTCTCGCTCAAGTAGGTCCTTTATAAATATACTCTCAATCTTTGCATGCTTTGTCTGACAATTCTTATTTCTAGCGTGGGACTCAAGGGCGGCGGTTCTGCCAATAGGATTGATTACTGGAGGTACATCTTTGCATATGACAAAAACAGCGTGGGAAGATTGTACCAATGTGTTGAGTTTGTTATACCACGGTCTCTTCGTTGACCATGCAAGACTAGTATTCCAATGGGACACCCACCTCTTGTCCTTATTGCACTGCACCCAAATCTATTGTGGAGCAACTGTCGATGAGGACAAAGCCTTAGAGACGAGGTGGAAGGATATGCTACATAGAACTATAACACGATTTTATTTCATTTCTATCTTTTATACATTGAATGATTGATAATGCATTGTATTTGATTAATTGGTGGTGAAAAAGTGAGACGGTAAGATCTAAATAAATGTGAGGGTTGCTCAGTTTGATGGGTGAGTTGTGAGAATTGAGCGTCTCAAGAAGACAGATCAGTGCAGATGAGAACCCCCCTCAAAACTGTCTGTACATACACACGCTCGATCTAAAGTATGCAGATCAGGACAGATGAGTTGACCCCTTGTTTGTACCCCTTTTTACAATGCAATACTACATACGTATTGTGGAGTTATGAGTTGCCAGATGAGAGCAGATGATTTTACCCCTGATTGTAATGTGCAATAAAATGATTTCATTTCAAGTAATATAATACATTTTGAGTCTCATCTGAATTGATGTTGTATTTGATAACAGATGAATCTGTGTGCTTTCATCAGATTGATCTGCTGGTTATATGTTGATAGACATGACTGTAGCAGATGAATCTGACCATAACACATACATTTCGAGTGATAAGTGTGCAGTCTCATCTGAGTTGATGATACTGCTTATGACAGATGAATCTATGTATGTGTGCTGTAGACAGACTCAATCTGGTGTCATATTGAGTCAGAATCGGTCAGATGAGCTTGGCTTTGGCAGATCTTGGGATTCTTGCACTGCTACAAGCATTTCAAGGTGTTGGGGGTCAAGATGGTCTCTTAAAGCCTTTTTTGAGTGCTCAGGAAGTGCATGAACACTCATGAAATGAATATTAGGCATAAGGAAATCTTTGAAGAATTGACTTCACATTTCAAAAATTTTCCTCAGATGACTCTGCCGCATCTGTCTTCATCTGCAGGGGGGTTTTGGCTATAAGCCCTTAGTAATGCACACTGACAGCTTCGGGTCTGGGCCGGACTTTCTGGGTGCCATAGGTGTCGTAGAGGATAGCAACACCAAGCTGCAATTGAAGTGACACATCTGATATCTTTTCTAGCAACCAATCAATCAAAGTGTGGCTAAAGTGTGCCCTAAAATCACCTGTGTGTAATGTATTCCTCCAAGTGTATAGGATGATACACACCCCTGTATCATCCTATAGCCTTTATTAACCCCCTTTTAGAATTTGTTAGAAAGCTAGGAGCTCCTAGGGTATCCTCAAAATTCTGCTAGGTCCCAATGCTATAAGGGGAGGGCCTTTGGCTCTCTCACACCTCAAGGCAACTATCACCACTAGCCTACAATATCACCTCTTCAGCAAAAATATCACCACCTGAAACAAAGTATTACCACCGCACTTAAAATATCACCA